TGATGCAGGGCGAGCAAAACGGTCAACTTTATGAATGTGATATTCATAAAGCTGATATCTGTCCATCCCATTGGCCAGTATTATTTTGCCCAAAGTGGTTTTCTAAGTCGCATGAGGAACAAACGGAGCAGTGATGTGAAAGGTTGCTTTTGAAGTCGGTCTTCGGCTTGCTTTGGCATCATCTGGTTACTGACCGATCAGCTTCTGTCCCACCACCGCCAAGCTCCCTGTAATCGGAATGCAAAATCTCTATTTCTACTCCTTGTTCCAATTTGACGACTCACTTTGAGGCCACAACGTATCACTTTTCGGAAACAGTTAGACCAATTGTATTATACTCCTTAGATTTTTCCCCGGGTTCTTTTGAATGATTCAGGGATGACGAATTTCTCACCCAAAACGAACTAGGGCGAGCACCTCCCCAGCATATGAGCCAATCGGTGACAATCAGGACAGACAACGCAACCAGTTAACTCACACGTACGAAGGGTTTGGCGCGCCGTTCATATGTTTATTGTATAGTACACATTTGTCTCAGCACAGTCGAGCATCCCCGTGCTGAGCTTAGACAAACCAACAGTGCAACTCAGCATAACATCCGCTGATTGGTCTGTCAGTTTGGCGACCCCGGTTAGGACGTCAAACTCGGTCACTGAATCCTAATATGCGGGCACAGCGTTCGAATCAACTACCCCGAGTATTGAGAAAAGAAAAAAATAACCGAAATCTTTTCGCTATCTCCTTCTCATCTGCGGGTTGAATATGACTGATGGTCACGTAGGATGGAGCATACTCACTTGATAGATTAAACGGATCGATCCGTCCGTAGTTGCGGTGTTTGGGCAGCCACTACACTCTACTCCACTTTAATCATAGCAGAAGCGATGAGCCCAGACCTGAGTGACCATAAATTGTGTTACAGTGAATCAGTTTGGTAAGTGTTCAAATTTGAGGCCAAAGAGCCAACCGACGAGACACCTTGATTTTCACGTAGCTATTTTTTTCTGCATAAAAATCTGGATTGGTGCAACTCAGTGCTTATGATCGTTGTTCTGCTGCTGTAAACAAAATGACTCGATATGAGCACTTTCCAAACTGATTCACTGTAACACAATTTATGGTCACTCAGGTCTGGGCTCATCGCTTCTGCTATGATTAAAGTGGAGTAGAGTGTAGTGGCTGCCCAAACACCGCAACTACGGACGGATCGATCCGTTTAATCTATCAAGTGAGTATGCTCCATCCTACGTGACCATCAGTCATATTCAACCCGCAGATGAGAAGGAGATAGCGAAAAGATTTCGGTTATTTTTTTCTTTTCTCAATACTCGGGGTAGTTGATTCGAACGCTGTGCCCGCATATTAGGATTCAGTGACCGAGTTTGACGTCCTAACCGGGGTCGCCAAACTGACAGACCAATCAGCGGATGTTATGCTGAGTTGCACTGTTGGTTTGTCTAAGCTCAGCATGGGGATGCTCGACTGTGCTGAGACAAATGTGTACTATGCAATAAGCATATGAACGGCGCGTCCAACTGTGCTGAGTTTTTTTTTAGTCGAGGCTACTCCCGTACTTTTAATTTGATGGTACCGTAAACCGCATCACTTCCCCTCGATTTGGCTACTCATAGTTGACATCAAACTCTTGGGAATAGAGGGCTAGGTTTTGAGAACGGAGGGAATTATTCCATAGGTTTGACCTGAATCGTAACGACCAGGAATATTGTGTATGACCACTCGCACTCAGTTATTTTTAGTAATTTGTTGTGAATAGAACAGTGCGAACTAGGCCAATGAAATTGGGTTACTGCTGGATGAGGGAACCAGTAATTCCTGGTAAATGTTTTTTCGGATAACTAAGGAGTCAGTTTTACTTTAGACTTGTGCTTGAAAAAAATGACGAAATCTGTCATATATCTTTAGCATAGTGAACCAAGTTTGTTCTCTTCTTTGAAGGTCCTCTCTAAAACGACATACAACAGTATAATGGTAGCAGCCTAAAGCCGACAATAATTTTTTCCTGTAAAAATTTGTAAAAATATTCGCTCCATTTTTGTATGTCCTGACGGGCGAAACGGTCCCGAACCAATGGCATTGATCACTCAATATGCAATACTCGCAAATCACCCCATAATCTGTCCCTAAGTTGTCCCTCGTTAGCATGTCCTGTAAAGCCAGCTGTCTAAGTAAACAATGTTAACCAATCAATATGCTGAGGCCGTATGGGCACACAACTCACCGATGCAATGAAGGGAACTTTCTAGTTGATTACACATGCTAATTAATAACCCCCTTCGCCTCATCGAATGTGCGGCAATAAACAGTATTTTTCAGGTACTCTCTAACAATTCCATGTGGCAACTTTGTTTAACTTAGCACAGTGACTGTCTCTGGTTTCGTGCCTGTTTCGGAGTACTTAAGTGAGACTGATTGGCACTAGTAATTACAAAACTGATGGTGGTCTGTTTTGTCGTAGTTTGTCAGTCTGCGACACACTGTACCAAGGTAGTTGATGCTTTTATTTGTTTAGTCTAGTGAACCAACAACCAAGCGAACACAGTCTTGAGTACTGGGGACTTGGTCAATATCGACTTATTGTGCGTGGCTTCATTTCTCCCTTCAGCCGTATTGCTTTCATTTGGTATTCCAAATGAATCATTCCGAAGAATGGTCCAGTCCAGTCAAAGGGAACCCAGTGGCGCGGCGGGCTTGTCTACCAGTTGCGCGTAAGATACGAACTCCTTGCAATGATATTTTACCAAGTAAATCCTTCCTCAGAATCTCATGAAAATAATCTGACCCCTATATTCACATACTTCTGAACGTGCGAGAGTGTGGTGAGTTGTCCGAATGCTTCCCTGTAAAGGGTGGTGTCCAACAATGATGTCCACTCTCTCCGTTATTCTTCAACTTCGTCGTTGATGAAATGAGGCGACTGCTTGAAGTTCCTCAAAACCCCGGTGTTTGAATTGTTGTGGGTGACAACCTTGTCGATCTGGATTACGCAGACAACATCGTCCTCATCTTTGAAGACCAAGGCGAAGGACAAGCCATGTTGAACAGACGGACCACCATCATACCGGCGTGCGCTTGGCCAAAGTGCAAAGTCACGCTTCAGAACGTGCAGCCTCTGAACGTTCATCTTGCTATTCAGCGAGAATCTCTGGAGGTTGTGGAGAATTTTGCATACCTGGATATTTCTATTAACTCTGACGGAAACGTCTGATGAAGTCACAACAAGGGTCTCAAATGCTCGAATCATGTTTGCTAATTTGCGCCGCTTGTGGCATCAAAAAGGCTTATCACTAGAATTTGAGGGTCACGTGTACGAAGCTACAGTAGGGGCCATGTTGTTCTATAAGTGCGAGACGTGGTCTTTGCTGACAAATGTGAAGGGTGTTCAGGTTTTTGACCACCGCCTCAGAAACGTTGCTGGTTATGGATGGCGTCAGCCGATTAGCAACGAGATGATTAAAAACGGGTATTTTGTTGTGCGACACATATTCTAATCGCAGAAAGCACCATCAATTGTGGTGGCTTGGTCATGTGGTACGCATACCGAAACACCGAGATGAGTGTTGTTCTCCGTGCCTCCTTCAGAATGGCGCAAACCGCGAGTTGGACAGAGGGATGTGAGGGAAATTACGAGGAGTTTGGGTTTTGTTGATGTTGCACGCCTCCCCGGATGTGGTTCCCCTTGGTCCTGTCTGTGCTTGGTTGGAGATGTTGCAAGAAATGGCCACTGATCAATGTTAGTGGGGTTCGTTCTATCAGTTTCCTTCCAGTTTGTCTGACTGGGCACTTGGAGGTGTAGACATGTCGAAGTGCTTCACGTAGCCCAGCACTAGATCCTCTTCCTCAACCACTCTCCTTCCCCTTTTTTCACTATAAGGCTTAAGATATAATCAGACGGACCGTATGGTTGTAAGGCAGTAAAGCATCATCGTCAACACTGATGTTGTTTCTGATGGTTATGAAATAAATTTTTAAAATATTCTTCGGGGGGAGGTCAGATATTTGTAATCGTAGTATCTTCTTTTCGATGTAGGGATTGTATTGAGAAGACTACATACCTTCGAAATCCCATATTGGGATGTTTTCCTTTGAGAGATCCTTTTGAAGACAATGCTGTACAAGTAGAGCGCGAGATAGCTCATTGTTTAAGGCGCCAACCTACGGACGGAAAGGTGCGTGGTTCGAACCCAACCTTAACACCTCGACATCCCCTGCCTAGGCTTGGACAATTTGGCAGTACCCCAGCCCTCGTGCCCCCTTCCGTTGATATGGCAGGTAGGCACCAAAATGATGCCAGAGCTGAACTGTTTGATGTTTGATTTTCTATAATTATTCCATGGTTTTTTCGCCGGAGTAGGAATCCGTATCCCCGGAGTGCTAGAACTCAGGTGTGGCATTTGAAAGCGGAATATGATCGTCAGTCAAATGATTAATTCGCTCGCATACGCAGCATCATGCTGTCCATTCGAAATTGTCATTAACAAACCGTCAGCTCTATCCATAGCGCAACTCTTTTCGACTACCCATTTCCATTTCCCTGTGAAAGGGCCCTTTTTGGTAGGGCATATCTTCTTAAAACATGAATGTATATAATCGGCAAACACTGAAAAAACTTTGCTAGCATGTACAAAAGTGAATCGTAGACAGTGGTGTTAGATCTGCGTGTTCGTTTGTTATTGAGTGGGTCCGAAGTTTGATATAGGTTCATTCATATGTATACACAAGTGGACGTAGTCCCGGAATTCCCGGTTTCTGTCGTTTAACCTTTATGTGTGATTGAACGGCAGTTGGATTATCGGTTGCGGACTTTTCTCCACTTTTAAGCAAGGAAAACGACGCACTAACTCACATCAATATTTTTATTCACCCTTCCTCCCCCAAGCCGGAAAGGTTTGATGCCATAGTGGTTGACTGTTTTGGATTGCCATCCCGAAAATGGTTGGTCTTCCATTTCATGGACCGTGTTTGCCTTCGTAATTCATCATTTCTTTCTACTGTCGCAATCAGTTGGTAACCAAGCTCAAGGACTGCTTGTTATTTAGTTACACACGTTTTCTCAAACAGCAGCACACGCCAGATGCAAGTAAATTATCATGTCTGAACAGGCAAATACGATTAGTTTGCTCCTGATCCTGTCGTTTACCTAACCCGCCAATTAGGACTTATCTTCCAGGTATCACCAAGGTCCCTTGAAACCCTCATGTTCCGGTAGGATAGCTCCAGTGGGAGCGGAACTCGAGTTTGGTGCTTCCTGGACTTGGTGTCGGGACCACAGAATGACTCTCCAGACTTTGATGATACGAACACGGAATCGTTTTTATGTAGCACGCCAAGGCCAACAGTGATGATTTTTAAGGACCCGGGTGGCTCGGCAATCAAGATACGAGCTCCTGACTGGAGGGCCCATTACTCTTGTTTGGGGCTGGCGAACATGTCAGTGTCTCAGTCGTCATGGTCCCATCGCTCTATGCAGTCCTTATGCTTATTTTCAGCGACGAGATTGGTTGCCCTCTTTTGGCCCGTGTTTGACAGTGGACTGCGTTTTTTAACCATTTTTGGGGTAATTAATTAGTACAGACTTCTTTTCCATGAACTCAATTAGTTTCGTGTTTGTATGATCTGTTAGACGGTTGCGTTTGCTTTTTTCCTTTATCTCTCGCAACCATTCTCCTGTGAACTCGAAAGAGCATTTGTGTCCACTCTGCTTAGCATACGAATAGATCACGCTAACTTCTACGTTATTTGTACTTGGCCATTGCTTTCGGCGATATTTGTCGCCACACAACTAGGCTAAGTAGACCAGTCAATTTCGAACAGATGGTCATCACTTCCATCATCCATCAGCGAAGTAATCGTAACGGAGTGTGCGGGGTATTTGTGATAGATCAGTGTTACGCACAGTAACCAACTATATTTTGCAGATATCCGCAGGGTTTTGCTCTGCACAATGCATTGAATCAAAATATTTTATAATCAGGTGTTTTGTGACAGCCTGCACAGCTTCTCAAAAGAGTCTATCGTTTTCCTCCATACATCAGACATCCGATTCCTTAGAAAGACTTCACCATAAATAGGAGGACGTTACATTAGATTGATTTTTGTGTGTGCCAAGGCAGTGTCTCGTTCACGTTACGCACTCCCGAGTTTCGCTCACACTGTTTACGGTTAACGACAAGCTGTGGCGCTCTCGCCACTCAGACGTGACTCTCATTATGCTTTCTGAGTGGTTCTTCCGTTGTCATAGTGCACGATTAATGCTTGCAAAGCCCTGCTTAATTCAGCATACAGACAGTAGACAGTCAGTCGGCCATATTCAGTCACTTTTTGGTTGCAATAGTGTGCCTATTACTCTTCAGCCACTCCCCTGGTTAGATGACAACACTAGAAAATTTTGCTGCCTGTCTTTTATGTATGCAACCTAGTATACGATGCGGTGGGTGGTGCGTGATTCAGTCAATGATAGTGTGAACTCATTACAATCGTTCAAACTCATTACCCAGTTGAAATTCGGGGTTGAACTCGTGACAAAGGTAGTCCGCTCAAACTGCAGTGGTTCTTCCTTGACGACTCTCGCACCACTATGACAACTGTCGTCTGGTGAAAGATAGGCTAATCCACTCCCCTTTGGGAAAAAACTTGGCTGCTCTGAATTACCACTTCCTCTACCTGGATTGAATTCACGTTAGTGAATCTATTGAACCATGGAGACTGCATTGATTGACCGATTGACGAGTTGGCACAGGCAGTAATCGTTAAAGAGCAAACCCATCTACGTGGTGTTGAAGATACATGTAGCAATCGTAAACGATCATTGAGGCACTGTGTAATCGGTTTAGGGTCTCGAGAGCAGAAATCCAGAGTTACTTTTATACAAAGGATTATGTGATAGTTGACTTGCACTCATTATCCCAGAGAAGTCGATACTCATCCAAATAAATTGGCTAACATTGAAACCGATAAAACAAATAAACTGGTCGACAGTTTCACAGAAAAGTCGTGCTACCATGCAATGGTTTGTCATATATTTCCCGTCCATCGAAAGCGCCAACGCAAGGCCTGCGCAGTTTCCTGTGGAGCCAGTACGTTGGGTTTTCCATTTTCTATATCTCGAAATTTAAGTGCTGGAGTGCTGTCTCTTAGAGATCTATGGACTGTCCCTTGCGGCTGACCACTCATGTTAGGTTTATTTGTCAGTCAGACATTGATCCGCACAGACAGTCACGCAATTGACATCTTTGCATAATTCACGACGGTGGAAGCGACCCGTAGTAACTTGTAGTATGGATAAAAACACAAATGTAAGAAAAACAGCCTTTGGGTCGTCGGGTGTCTAAGACTTAATTACAATATTGTTCATTCGGCCCTTCGGAACCTATCGTCAACTTCCAAGGGTTCTGAAATGCATACTTTAAGGTTGATTCGATGAGGAAATGTAGTGCTGTTGGGTAAGGTACGGAAGTATTGATTCATACCAAGAATATTCAATCAGGTACTGTTTTCTAGACGTAGATATCGTCCAATATCCCCAGCTTTCTGCGTTCAACGGCTTGTTGATCGTAACACATGAACAATTATTATGACTGTCTATTTAATGGACCTCCTACCTAAGACAGATACCGGTGGAAAGGAATAGAATGCTAAAAATAAGCTCTCCTTATGATGACGAATAGTACCTATGAAGCATACGTAAGTCATTAAGGCCGCCCGGGCATTACTGACGCGACACAATCTCAGTTTGGATGAAACAGAGTCGTCGAAGTGTATAAATATCGGGACCTTCAATCTACAGTGTTCTTCCACCTAAATGCGTTCGCCACTCGCTGTGGATATTTTCGAACTTAACCGGATGTGAAACTTCACACTGGTACGCTAAGCATTCCCTCCAGACTTTGGGTGGTCTATTTCGCCGATGGCATCATCAGATGAGATCCCATCAATGAGACAGTCAGACAGCATTATGACTGCTTAGTCAGTCCGACTTGTAGTGATACTCACTTGAATGACAGTTGGATGCGCAGGAGTGATGTTGTAAAAAGAGAGTTTGAATTACTGAGCAGCACTGACCACCTCTGAGTTATCCGGGCGTCATGTAGGTTGTAGTAGATTTTGTGGACGAAGATTTCGGGGTAATGTTTGGTCAAAGACAAC